GGGGGGGGGGGGCTGGCAGTACCAGCAGTTCCAGTGTATTTATTGTTGGATATATTTTTGTTCCGGGGGGGCACTTGGCTTTCGCCTGGGGGGGGGGCACTGCCCCCCTCCCCCCGGAGATAAAGCTGAAAGAAACGCTGCTTATGGTAGAGGTGATTAGACTATTTCCAAATTATGCTGTGAATGGTAGCTTGTAGTAATAGTTTTCTGAAATTGGGGACAAACAGGATTACCAGGAAAAAATCTTCTCTGTATGTATATATAATCTTTATTGTGAGATGTTTACAATTATCATCAATAAGAGATGCCACCATGATCATCGGTGAGAGATGCCACCATTATCGTCAGTGAGAGATGCCACCATGAGATATGCAATATATTTTTTCCCTGGTTATCAGCCATTCTTAGTATACAATCAGTGACACGTGCCAGCATTAAACCTCAGTCAGAGATGCCCCCACTAGGGGTCGCAATCCGGGATCCCGAAATTCGAAAATACCGGAATACCGGACCATATTTGATGTTCGAAAAAACCGGGATTGGGTTTATGAAAACCGGGATTTTCGATAATCCCAGGATTTCATTTTCAATCATTTTTTTTTCGTTTTTCTTAGTTTCCACATCATAGTTATAGCAATGCATATCAATAATTTATTATATTTGCAAATCCCTCACACCACGTGTCTCAAGTTCAAAGAAAGCTGACCGACGGGTTAGATCTGTGTACTCTTATGTGTCAAGAATCATGACGTTGTGATTAGTTTTGTTTTTTTACATTGTGCGTGTGTAATGCGTAAGTGGAGACGAGTCACAACGTGCAGGTGCATGATTGGTAATTAAATGTTTTCATATTATTGACAAATAAATGATTGGTATAGTTGAATGTTGATCGAGTTTTGACTTCCATTAAGAGTTTGTTTGGAAATAATAACACGTTGCACTCAAATCACGGGGTCAACTTTTAATTAATTTTTTTTTTGAGTGCTTGATTTCTCATAATTATGCCAAAACACCTACATATTTAATAATGTGAGTAAATCTGTATTTTGATAATAAAATACCTTAAATTTAAGACACAGAAAAATTATGGTACTTCTATTTTGTAATAACAATGTTAATAATTTAAATTCAACTCATAATTGATTTTCGAGCTATTTTGTCTCGGGCTGAATTTCCCAGTTTGTCTATACCGTACCTAGCCAAAATGTACATGACTGAATGTCCCAATTATTCTGTACCGTACTTAGCCAAACATTTACACATTAAAAAATGTACACATAAAAAAAAAGTTTGACACGTCAAAGCTATTCGATTGAATTAATAATTGATTGTTAATTATTTATTTCCCCAAGTTGATAGAAAGAAATGGGGGACCCTGAAAAAAATAAACCTAAATTTGAAAAGCATATGAAACTGTCTGAAACAAAGAGATCAGTTTGGGATCATTTCTTAAAAGCTGCAGACAATCTCTCAGCTAAATGTATTAGATGTAAAAAGATACTTGAAACATTGGGAGGTACAACTTCAGGCCTTGACTCTCATTTAAAGTCTGCACATTCCAGTAACTACTTTGACGTATTTCTAAGGCCAGATTGCGACCAGATGCAAAAATATAGCGTGGATTTTCAAAAGCTTGGTCAGACAGCGGATTCCTCGTTGGAAATATCTACGAAAAATGAAATTGAACATCTAGGATCTGAGCATGACCAACTTGAAGACACACAACCGCTTAAGAGACAATTAGTAATTGAAAAACAAATGAAACTTCAGGATATACTTCCAGACCAACGGTTGAAAGACATGGATACATTGGTAAAAATTAAATGGCTTTATTTGAGAATGGCGGTTCAAGAGGAAAATATCTAGAAATTGCTTATGATAGCCTAAGGTCTATTCCTCCGACCAATGTGGAGTCAGAGCGGGTGTTCACTTCATCAGGTTACTTTTGTAACCATTTGCGTCAAAGTTAAGTGACCAAACATTATTCTTTGTCATTGTTACGATTTCATTATTTTAATTTGATCAAAGGTTAAAAACGGCACCAATTATTTTAAATATTTGTTTAATAAAACTATTTAAATTAAAAAGTTAAGAATATTATTTTTGTTCGTTTGATTATAGTCTGAAGATAAACGCATGTTTAAAAGCTTATTAAAAATGAAAATGTGATATTTTTAAAAATGTTTTTATTTTATTCATAAATCCTCACCTGTAATCTCGAATCACTTTAAAAGTTCTCTAAATATCGAAAATACCGGCATTCCGGTATTTGTAAACTTCAATATCGAAAATACCGGTTTTGGCAAAAGGGACCGGTTTCGCGACCCCTAGCCCCACCAAGCTCTCACGTCATAACTATCAATTACAAAGTGTAATCCTGGTCCTTAACCTAATGTGCCGCTATGAGAGACTGTAATTGATAGTCTTCTAATGTTGGCAATTTCATGTGCACGAGCACAAGTCTCACCCGCCCCAGCCAGGGGGCACATTCCCCATCGATGGTCTAGTCGAGCCGTTATGTAATAAGCCAAGGGTTCAATTCGGCCTGTCCTACTAATGGGCTGCGGGTTTAGTTCACGTGTCCCCATTCACAAGCTTTTAGCCCGTGGGTGTGGCTAGACTATCATCATTTTAGACTGTAGGCTGTGGGTGTGGCTAGACTATCACCTCTTGTAGGCTGTGAGTGTGGCTAGACTATCATCACTTGTAGGCTGTGGGTGTGGCTAGACTATCACCACTTGTAGGCTGTGGGTGTGGCTAGACTATCACCACTTGCAGGCTGTGGGTGCGAATAGACTATACCTACTTGTAGGCACTTGTAGGCTGTGGGTGTGGCTAGACTATCACCACTTGTAGACTGTGGGTGTGGCTAGACTATCACCACTTGCAGGCTGTGGGTGCGAATAGACTATCCTCACTTGCAGGCTGTGGGTGTGGCTAGACTATCATCATTTAAGACGTGTACGCTGTGGGTCGGACTAGATTATCACCACATGAAGGCTGTGGGTGTGACTAGACATTCGCTGGTTGTAGGCTGTTGCTAGAGTATAACCAATTAAGAATTAGAGGCTGGGGGTGTGGTTAGACCATCGCCATTCGCAACTCGTAGGCTGTGCCTGGAGTATAACCAATTAAGAATTAGAGGCTGGGGGTGTGGCTAGACTATCGCCATTCACAACTTGTAGGCTGTGGCTATGCTGAGACATCACCACTTATAGGATATTGACGTGGTTACTCTAGCACCATATATATATATTGTGGATAGACTATCACCACTTAAAAGCAGCTCTGGACGTTATCGTCACGGAGTTAGAATGTACATTATGAATGTACGGAGTCATTTGAGTTCTACAATAGTTCAGTGGGAGTGCATTGATTCTATTGGGTTGTAGAATGTTGAAGTGCTTGTGCATTGATTCTATTGGGTTGTAGAATGTTGAAGTGGGTGTGCATTGAATCTATTGGGTTGTAGAATGTTGAAGTGGGTGTGCATTGATTCTATTGGGTTGTAGAATGTTGAAGTGGGTGTGCATTGATTCTATTGGGTCGTACAATGTTGAAGTGGGTGTGCATTGATTCTATTGGGTTGTAGAATGTTGAAGTGGGTGTGCATTGATTCTATTGGGTTGTAGAATGTTGAAGTGGGTGTGCATTGATTCTATTGGGTTGTAGAATGCTGAAGTGGGTGAGCATTGATTCTATTGGGTTGTGCAATGTTGAAGTGGGTGTGCATTGATTCTATTGGGTTGTAGAATGTTGAAATGGGTGTGCATTGATTCTATTGGGCCGTACACTGGTTTAAAGGGTGATTTGTACAAACTCCATTGGGAACAGACTTGTGAAATAAGGACACACAGGATTCTGGGAGGACGTCATAGGTAGGACATTTAAAACATAATTCCTTAACACAGGAGCAAGCTATAAAGTAACCAGAGCTCCACAGTTATCTTACTTTCTCTAGAGAAGCTCCACTTGCAGTCATCTTACTTTCTCTAGAGAAGCTCCACTTGCAGTCATCTTACTTTCTCTAGAGAAGCTCCACTTGCAGTCATCTTACTTTCTCTAGAGAAGCTCCACTTGCAGTCATCTTACTTCGTCTAGAGATCGCCTTGTTGAAAGCAAACACTATAAAACAATATTTTAACTATGGTACAGTTTTATTATTCTCAAGGATATTTTATCAAAATATTAGGAAGCGTTAATTTCCATTGAAAAACAAAAAAATATGAGGCACAGCAAACTTTCCATCAAATCACAGCTGAGATCAGTGCAATGACAAGCAAAAATTGATATTTAATTCCCCTACTGACAGTTACCAAAAAAAAGTTGATGATTTATTCCCCTTATGACAGTAACAAAAAAATTTTTAAACATTGATATTTTATTCCCTTACTGACAGCCACAAAAATAAAGTTGATTTATTCCCCTATGACTGTAACCACAAATAAAAATTGATATTTTATTCCCCATCTAACAGTAACCACAAAAAAGTTGATGATTTATTCCTCTACGACAGCAACCACAAAAAAAAGTTGATATTTTACTCCCCCCACGCTGCACTAATGAAAAAATTACACGTTTGAAAAAATGCATAGTTGATGTCTCATTTATCTCAACATTCAGAGTTAACCTTTCACAATGAACCAGTGTTTCCCCTATAGTTAAACTATGGTCACAGATAGACACAATTTTCTGTTCAAGAATCACTCAGCCAGCATATCGTAATAGTAATTGACCAAGTTGTGTTCTAATCAAACAAGCACTTAGATCTATTTTAATATAACATATATTACCATTGTTAAACAAAGATTTAATAGACAATAATTTACTTCTATCAGAGAAAAATTTTGTAAGCATTATACATTTTTTCAAATCGAATTTTAGGTTTTAAGCTACATTGAAACTGAGATAAGATAGACCTAAAATTCTATAGAACAGAACTATTTAACAATTTAATAAAATATTTTACAGAACAATACAACAGTTTAGCCAAGAGGATTTAAAGCTTTAAATTTAAGCATTTAAGCCTCAACACTAGGACTTGGACCTAAAAATCATATCAGATCACATATAGAACGTCCCCAAACTAGTTGCAACCTTACTACATGAAATCAGGCCTTTTTTATAGAAGAGGAAGTCGAATAAAGTAAATATTACAGCTCCGCTTGCTTATTATGATGTTGGATACATTGAGTGAATTGAAAAGTAACAAGTTGTCATTACAAAAGCATCAAGTAAAATAACAAGAACAAAACAAACTGTATAAATTAAATAATATTAATGAAACAAAATTGAATATGATACAACAGACAATGAAGGAAGCGTCATCAAAAAAATTTGTTCTCATTTATAATCGGACACACCTTACAGCTGTGTCAAGAACTGATGCATGTGTCAGTTACGCTTCAGCTTTTAACATGATGATTCCTGTGCCATCCCATGGAGATAGCAGAGCAACACCATGATCTAACACTAGCCCCATGATCTAACAATAGCTGTATGATCTAACACTAGCCCCATGATCTAACAATAGCCATATGATCTAAGACTAGTTACATGATCTAAGACTAGTTGCATGATCTAACACTAGGCCCGTGATCTAACAATAGAACCATGGTCTAACACTAGTTACATGATCTGGTCAAAGAAGAATGCTATTAACCAGGTCAAAAGCCAATGACACCACCCTTAAATCAACAAACAAACAAACCAAAGCAATGTCAACTCAAAGAGCACAATAAACAGTTTATTATTTGCTCTGAACAAACGGAAAATATCACTCATAAGGGACACATTTTTTTCTTCTGTCTTTCAATCAACAAAAGCAATTTGTGAGAGATTACTTTTTTAATTTAAAAAAAAAAAAAATTCATTGTAGACATGAATAGAAGAGTTATATAAGAATAAAATGAATAGTCTACATACTAATATTAAATACATTACTAAGCTTCAATCTGACGTTAGCTCTTGTTGGTATTTCCGTGTTTGTAGGTAAGGTTGTTGTAGCTGGTGGAGGTGGATGCACCACTGAAGCCCGCACCATCAGAGGATGACGAGGAGGCAGAGGTGGACGGGTGGTGTGTGGTGGTGGTGGAGGAGGGGCCGCTCACTCTCTTTTTCAAGGTATCAAGGTATTCTTGTTGTGACTGCGCTATCACCTGGGCCAGAATGTCCTCTTCACTCCAGTCAGACAGACCTAAGGGTTACAGGTGAGCAGATGAGCTATCTAGACAAGTTTACTTCAGTGAAACCTCAATATAATGTGATAACTGGGATCCGTAAAGCTCTAAATGCGGGGTTTACAACATATATCTTCAATCTACTCCGTCAACTCTTAATGAGTCCGAGACGCCTAGTGACAGGTATCACAAAGTTTCTCAAGAAGCCTTGATTAAACGTGAAGAGCATTGGGATTTGACAGCTAATAAAGTAGATTTATTTTTAACTGGTTGTGTCTAGTAACACCATAAGGCATTATGTGTGTGAATAGCACTTGATATTTTTTGAAAGTATGAATACAGAAGATTTCATTTTAAAATACTGATTTTTTTTTTTTTTTTTTTTTTTTTAAATTCTCTGGAGGTTAGGGAGTTAATATGGGAGTAAAGTTAAATTTAAAAAATTTAATTTGCAATAGTATTTTACAAGACTATAAATACTTGTTCGAGTACTATGCAAAAAAAAAAAACATTCATGTGCGAATGAATAAAAGATTTCTGGATCAACAGAATTCCCACTGTGATGGGGTTCCAATATTTAAAAACAACAACATTTCAGCTAAACATTAATTCATTTTAAAATGTGGTGCAGCCCCAAGAGCACTGGGATTTTAAATCAATTAAAGTGGATTTACTTCCAAACGGTTGTGTCCACTAACACAGCGATGCACTGGCCAACATCTTGGTGGCTTTCGTTCTTTGATACATTTATCAATTTCAAATAGCAGGAACAATGCCACGATCACGCAATATTCAAATTCCTACGTGGTGCCATCCCATTTAGTGAAGGTGAGCATTTTGTTAAACAGTTTGTCAAGCCATTAAAAAAAATATATTTTAAGGTGCGAATGAGTAAGTTGTGAGCCATGCCACAAACACATTATATAACATTCATCAGTTTTAGCCAGATCCCACAGTACTACAAGTGTGAAAGGTAGAATTCATTTATGTTAAGAAAATATGACTTTGCATTTAGCGAGTCAGTGATATAGAAACTCTTTACCGTAGAGGGATGGAGTGAATTGGTTCATGACAGTTTCATTGAATCTACCATTAGTTTCCTCAACATTAGCACTAGCTCCACTTGGTGAGTTTTGCTGTGGACTTTGTCGGGGTGACTTAGATGAGCCTAAGATGGGAAGATCAAGGCCAAAATTTGATTAAACGAACAGTTCATTACACTCCATCATTCCAGTAAACTAAATGAACGCAATTCCTGTAAAGATTATAATTATGTATTGAGACTGACGCTTAAAAAAAAAAATTGCAAATGCAATTACTTGCCACAATGCTATGTTCAATGCTTGAGAAATAAAGCAGCTTTAAGTTCTGATAGTGTTTAAAATCATCAGCTCACCAGGCAATGATACAAACTGATCCTCAGCTGAATGCTGTTGCTGAGGGCTACTATTCCCACTTCGCAGCTGTCGTGGGGACCTGATGGGGCCAGAATCCACAGAGCTGTGAGTGACGTCACTGGTGGAGCTGCATGTAGCACTTGCTGTCCTGGCCTACACATGAAACAAAACGGACGATCTCATTGCTTCGAAATAAAAATACAAGAGCAAAAGAACTTTTCTTAAAAATTAGTGGATACACTTTTGTTTCCATTAAGTATTACTATACTTTGTGCAGAGATTCTGTGCTATTTTAGACAGTTCAGTACTTCAGTAGGGGGGAGGGATGAGCTCAGTACTTTCAGTAGCGAGAGTGAGTTCAGTACTGTACTAGGAAGAATGGGTTAAGTACTGTACTAGGGGGAGTGAGCTAAGTACTCCAGCAAGTGGAATAACTTAAGTAATTTTAGATCACTTCATTAAACAAAATGTTTTCTTTAAATTCTTAAAAATATTGTTTAATGAAAATGGAGTAAATATTGAAATTAATGTTAAGACATCACAGTAGATGAGATATATAAGAAATTGCAAGTTGGCAAATAATGCATTAACATACATTGGCTCCTTTGGTTCTGCGAGTTGCTTTCTCTTGTTCTCTCAGCCACTGAAGGTAAGACTCCCTGGCCACTTGCTCCTCTATTGTGTCCTGAGTTACTTCCCAGTCTGTCTCTCTCAACTTGTCTTGAAGCATAGTCTGTAACCAGGGAGAGGCAAAATTCTTAGTAAGTCATATAAATACATATATAAATTGAGACAAGATTGTTAGGAAAATCATAGCTGTACAAAAAGTATTGTATTTTTGTTTCTTGTTTGAAGATAAACCAAATGAATTCAATACTAATGTGGGTTAATCAAGGTCAACTTGGGGTCAAGGTGAATGAAAATACATTTTTAAAAATTATATAAAAATTTCAATATATTTGTTTACTTTCATTACACCTCTGTGTACCAACTGGATCAATGTGATTGGCAGTACACCAGTTTGAAAATCACAGCTTTAGACCCCCACCAGTGCAGTTGTACATTTCTTTCCAAAATCTTAATCAAAGCTTTAGACTGTAAAAGATTCAGTCTATACTTTTGTTCAATAAACTTAGGCTTCAAATGCTCAAACAATAGGATGGTTGTTAAAACTCTTTTAATCCAGCCACCTACACATACCTGCTCTATGTGGAAATTTTCAGAGCTTTTTATAGCATCATGCATTAAGTTTCTTTCTGCCTGCTGAAAATGTAAAATAAATGAAATAGAATAAATATGAAAATGACTCATAGAAAAAAGATAATGAAACATATTTAAAAAACAATTAACATCACACGACCTCGACAAAATAAACACTCTATAGCACGTGTCAGGAAATTCAATATTTTTAAGTTTAATTTCTTCAGAAGTTGTTATCAAATCATGTGTCATTAACAGATCACAGGTGCAAATTTTTTAATAATGGAATAAAAATTACAGTACAGAAAGTTAATATATATGAAAGTTAAAATATATATATATATATATTTAAATCAGTTTAACCCTTTACAGTCCAGGCCTATTCAGCCTTGTCTACTCCCAGCGCCCAAGCAAAGGGACATAACTCCATTTTAAATGAAGGGTCTTTATCTAATTAATTTACAGAATATAAACTAGAAGCAAGAGAATATAATTAAATTAACTTAAGTACAAATAAATGATTGAAGCAAACGTTAAACCTAAAAACAGTTTCAGGGACCCTCCCACTTTGATTTGAGAAAAATTCCCAGACCACTCATGATCTTGCTGATCAGTTGGAGTGGAATTGATAGGTCTGTTGTCATCAATGTTTCTATCACTATTATCTTCTTCACTTGAATCATTATCACTTGTAGCGTCATTTAAATTAATGCCTCTTTCAGATTCATCACTATCGCTGCTAGACTCATGAAATAGTGTAGCTTCATTAGGCCTAAGTTCTTTCAAAATTTTATCCAAGGCTTGTAAAGCCAATTTTACAGCGAAAAAATCTCAACTTTTAAAAAAATAGTAGAAAATGAGCCCCTAAACGCACAGCGGTCAAACTAGTATCAAAATAAATGCCAACAATGAGGCTTTCTTCTGGTAGAACTATAAATAGTAATGCGCAATGGATTTCCGCTGTGCTAAGAACGAAAGTAAACACCCTCAAAATGGGTGGGTTTGGCCTCAATGGACTGTAAGCTTAAGGGAAAAATCGGCGCATCGGACCGTAAAGGGTTAAGTGTGTCCAGGTTAAAATGTTTGAAAAATTGACAAAGTGAAGACATCCCAAATAAAACAATTTAAAAACTGCTGATATTATTGAGTAAAGAGCCACACTCCCAATAAACAATTGAAAAACTGTTAAAATGAAGTAAAGACCCACCCTAGATAAAATTAATTAAAAACTGCTCATCTATAGTAAAGACCCACCCCAGGCTGAAGACCAGGAAGCCCCAAGCCAACACCAATCGATGCCAAATAAGGGTCCACAATTGAGTTGTAATGAACATTGCCATGGTAACTTAAGCGAATTGGAGGGTTATCTGTCTTGTAGGCTGTGTCAAAGGTGTTCATAGGGTCTGCCATTGGAGAGATATAAAGAAAAATATACATGATTTATTCAGTTAAGAATGTATCTATCTTCTATTCAAAATGAAATAATGAAATACACATGAAATAAAGGATTAAAATTAATTCAAATAAAGATTAAGATCACAGAGGAAATTTAACACAATATCCTAATTGATCATGAAAGTATATATTTAATATATGAACTCTCAAAGTATGTTACATTACCATTTCAACCACTGAGGGTTGACAAATTTTTTTAAAATAATTTTTTTTGGTATATATTTTTTCTCATTTTTATATATCTGTTTTGAAAAAAATGCAGATTATCAAAGTTTAAAAAGATCTTATTGTCTTTCTTAGCTCGATTACACATTAATATTAGTCCGGTATTTGCACATTTGAAGACTTTGCTCCGATTTCTATGAACTTGTGCTGCTTTAAATGCGATACACCCTTTCAAAATATGTTAATTTATTAATTAAAGAGAAGAGCTTGAACTGTCTGTGACATATTTATGGTGAGATGGGCAAGAAATACGAGAAGCAATCTTTTAGCTGGTACAAAGACCAGCCAGCTTGTATTATTAGGCCGATGAATTGGCCATTTGTCTTTTTTTTTTCCATTTTACAGATAGATGGGCCCTACCATCTTGAAGCACTGCATAGACCGTTAAAGATGTCTGAATATTTTGCTGGCACCCTTTAACATATCCTGTTCATTTATTAAAGGAACAGAATCTTGAATGATCTTGAAAATTGCACAAAGTTATTAAAAAAGACGTAGTGAAATGTAGATTACCTAAGCTATACTGATATACTTCCACTGGCCGGTTAAATAGTTCTGTCATTGCCTGGATCTCCAGATGATTGCCATGACATGAATCCATGCGTTTACGATTTAAGTAGGTAGTGAAATCCTCAGTCACATACTGAGAGTAAAAATCAGCATTCTTTGACTGAAAAAAAAAAGGTTTAAAATGTGTTAGAAGGCATAAAAGGAAATAATAGTTCTTATTTTTTGTTTAATATTTTAAAAATACAAATAAACCTTTCAGTTTTAAAAAAATTAAAGTTATTAACTTATTTAGTCTATGTCTTTAGGTTAAAATAATGCAGAAGTAGATAACAAATAAATTAAAAAAAATTCTATTATAGTCACAAGAAATGGCAATTTCCTCAAATGTTCCATCAACTGCTGAGTTGTTGTTGAGTAAATATATTTATATTATGATATTAGAAGATCTTTACTCAAACTTACTGCGACTAAAAAAGAAAACATTAACTGGTGCTAAACATTTACCTTCCTATCCATTTTTAAAACCTGAGATCAAATCAGACACAAAAACACTACCGGTACTTTATGTACCGCAAACCAACAACCCCATATTACAATATGTGCATTTATAGATCACTGAGTTGTACCATTTAATCTAGCACCAACTGTTCCACTCAACTACTATGTAATTAAATGTGTTCAACAAAAATATGGGTACCATGTAGTCCAGACAATGTTTTCGGACTGTTCCATGCATCTCTTGGTCCCCATAAACTTGGTCAGCTTGGAAGAAAAATATCAACAATTTAAATTTTCTAAAATAAACAAGACATAGAGTCTACACATTTCTCAATAAAATAACAAATACAAAGGAAAAAAATAAATAGTGACTCTTCTTCTTGTTATTTTCTGTAAGACCCAATTTTACTTAAATATTAAGGACTACTAAACTGGTTCAGACAGAAAATGTAAAACTCTGTGATAACAAAACAATCATATCTATATTTTGGCATGGTTCTGAATTAGATTGAATATCCGACCATCTCAAAATAATTCACAATTGTTATTGTTCAAACAGAATTTAACAACTAATTTGAGAAAATGACATCATTCAATGAGCGTAGAAAGTGTTAGTACTTAATTATTTTATTATAGAATTCTTTATAGACTACAGCATACATAAGTTAAGTATGACACCACACAACAGTCAGTGATTGTTTTTGGCCATTTCAGTTACTACATGATATAATTAATCTTTTCATTGGCAACCAAGACTTTGATTCTATCACTTTTGAGGGGAATTTTATAACCATAAAAGTGTCAGACCAATAGTTTAAGGTATAATTTAAAAAAGCCATCGGCCCTATTGCCTAAACTGCAATATTACATTTCTATGATTTATGTTTGATTTCATTTACTGGGTAGTAATAAAATTAAAACAGAAGAAAAATATATTACTTACCAACTGCTCTAAATAAACACGCTCCATCTTCTCCCATTTTCTTAATGATAAATCCTTTTTTTTCTTTCAGAGCTTGCTCAAACCATTCCTCGAGCTGTGAGCATTTAAATCAACATTGAAATTACATTATCAAAACTTTAACATTTTAATATACACTTCTAATAGTTTCGTTATTTCACACCTGAAAAATAAAGAGGCCAAATAGGATAGGGCCTGAATTAAACTTTTTTTAAAGTAAAGCAATTAGCCATGCGAAACTTTCATTGAAGTATGAAGGACATAGGTCATTCAATATTATCATTATATTAAAAAAATAAATATGTTTTAACTTTATCAACCCAATAATTATAGCAGCTATGCCCCTGGCCTATCTATGTGATTAGTTTTAGCATAAAAAAACCAGTCTAAACAGCCTCTTGATTTTATTTCTAAATCATCCCTGACCCTGGTAACCACGCTAAAATACATGTGGTCATGGCCAATGTTGCCTCTAAGGTTTGTTGATTCGTGTGCAAAATCATACAGTTGTGTGCAAAGTTTTACAGCATCAATTTTTTTGTGTGCAAAATTTTACAGCCAACAAACACAAACACACACTTTTATGGAAATTTGCTGCGCGGCGTCTGAGATAGCTGCGCAGCCGTGCAGCTTAAAGGGAACATTGGTCGTGACTAAATTTCTGTTATGTGCATTTGTGTTAACTGTAATGTAATCCTATGCCTATGTAGATATAGTTATAAAGAGATAAAATTATTTTTAATAACAAAAATAACAAATTTTATAACACATAAAAATACACACATGGCACATCCTCTACCGATAGATAGCTGTTATTTGGACCAGGGTTCCTTTAGACTAAAATAAATGGCTTTTTGGATGTTATTGGCGGTTGTTTATTTTAGTTAAACTGAAGAAGTAAGTTTACAAACACGTATTCCATTCAATTGTTTTTATTATTATTAGTGGTTTTATATAGTGCTGTCACCCAGCCCTAGAACCCCAGTCTAGGGCTGGGCTCACCACGCTGTACATACAATTTAACAATAATAAACATGAACTTAAAAATTAATATACATTAATTAAATAAAACAAAACAAATGTATATTCACTCCACATATTCAAGAACTATTTACATGTCAAGCCATGGACAGCCACTCAGCAGCATCGTTTATCAAACAGAGGGGGAGAATCAGTCAGGATAGTAGAGTTTAAAGAGATGTGTTTTGAGTGCAATTTTGAAGGCTGTGATGGTTGTTATATTATGAATGTGTAGTGGAAGAGAATTACATTTTTGGGGGCACAGAAAGAGAAAGATCGTTCACTGCATGTTTTTGTGCGAGTCTTGGGGACAGAAAGAATATGCGCGTCTGCGTCGAAGGGGTGAATAGACAGAAGTTCGGTTAGATAGGAAGGTCAGGAATTTGAGAAAAAGTTGTGGCAGAGAACAGAGAGTTTGTAGTCAATCCATGCTTGTAAAGGGAGCCAATGAAGTGAATGAAGAAGTGGTGTGACATGATGATCACGTTTTTTTGCCTTTAGAATTAGCCTTACAGCTCAGTTTTGAACTTTTAAAAATTTTTTAATGAAGTGTTTTGGTGAGCCTAAGAGGAGAGAGTTACAATTTCAAGACGATAGAGAACTAGAGCACAGACTAGGGCTTTAGTGCTAACTGAGGTAGTGGCAGATGGAGCTAATCTGACAAATAGCAGCATATGCAGAGCGACAAATGTGAGAGATATGATTATCAAGAGACATGTTAGAATATAACCAAGATTCCTAGCGGAGAATGTAAACTGTATGTCCAAGTTAACTACATGAAATGAAGTGGGGAGAGCTGAGTTAGAGGATGATTTGTGATCGTGAATAAAGAGTGCTTCTGTCTTGTCATTGTTAAGCTTCAACTTGCTGAGTGTCATCCATGTCTTGACATCATCAATGCTCTCCCGCAAAGTCCGGACAGCAGAATCAATAAGAAAGGGATGGGTATGCTTGTATAGCTGCGTGTCATCTGCAAATGACTGGCTCTTCACAGAATGCCTCCCGAGCAAGAGGAGCAGTGGTCTGATATACATTGTGAATAGAACCAGGCACAAAACAGACCCATGTGGCACTCTGTACACCACGTCAGCACTGTCGGAGAGACAGCCACCGACATCAACCGCCTGCGTTCTATCTGAGAGGTAAGACCTAAACCAAGCCAAAACTGATCCTGAAAATCCAAAGTAATTTTCAAGGGTTTTTTAAAGGGTTTCGTTTGATACCAAATTTTGTCTTACACTTACAAACCCAAAATAATATTTTAAATATTTTTTTAATAAACACAACCTCTCACTATTTACTGGATCCGAATAACTACTTTGTTTTGTCAATGAGAATGGACAGACTTAGATTGTACAAACCTCACTGATATTTTCAGGGACTGCTGGTGGTTGACTATGCTCATCTTCACTATTATAGTCTTCATCACAGTCTTCAACATTTCCAGTCAAATGTGGTATGTTATTTGGGTTGTTAGCTACATTAGCTGGATTAGGAATCACAGAAGGAGCATGATTATTACGATGCTTTCTCACTGTTCTATGAGGGGAAGAGCGATGCCGTCTTTTATGGTTTGAAGGTGGGTCATGAGCATCAAATTCATAAGTTGCATTTGATGATAAAGTCTGGGACAATCCTGGATGAGAGTGAGCTAGATCATCTCGTCCAGATGTAGAAGGTAGCCATCGAGTTGGAGACGTTCGTACCCTTGGTGTCTTTTCAAGGCGACTTTCTGAGTTACTGCTATGATGATAATGTCCATGAGCATGGTTAAGGGCATGACCATGTCCAACTGCTGCGTGTGGATCAGCTGTTTCTGTATCATTTTTTTCTTTGATATTTTTCTTTTTCGGTTTGATAGTCATGATTCTCGACTGGTTGAGGTCGACCCCAGTCAGTCAAACCTTCACAACCTCTCCTCCTTTCTTAAACAATGTTGTGTGTCACCACCTTCTCTCCTCATTAAACCGAAAACAATATTAACTTTAAAAGGCAGGAAATTGTGAAGAATTTGGAAACCGTAAACCACGAAATACTTGGGAAAACTGATAAGCGTATGGCGTCCACACTGTGACGTAATTTTTCTATTTACATCGGCAGCGCCATCAAAAAGGGCATACTACTCTCACGAAGGAAGGGGAAAAAATAAAATAAAAATGCTCTTCAACTCTCAACTAGGAAGCTGTACAAAGAGCACAAATTGATATCATAAACTGAAAAAAGCAAATAAACCGTTTTTCAAATCATAATATGGTATATATATTAAAGGAAGTTTACATTTAATTAAAGAAGCAAGTCATCCAAAACTTTCTAAATTAATTCTTCTTCAAGAATATTGCTATTATTTTGTGTAATTACAATTATTTTCTTAAATTGCTGAAGTCAACCATGGGCATCGGTGGTCTAGTGGTAGAATACTCGCCTGCCACGCGGGTGACCCGGGTTCGATTCCCGGTCGATGCAAATTTTTTTTTTTTTTGCAACAAAACAATTAAGAACTTTAAAAATACTTTTACTCTTTTATACGAAAGCCACATGCAACCAATATTTTCAAATAAAGACCACTCGTCCTCTCTGCCTAGTTGACCTCATGTCTTCAATTATTTACAAGACAAACGTGTCAAAAGGATGTGAAAAAGGATATGAAAAAAAAAGTCCGAAATTCAAATAGGCTAAAAAAACATTTCAAGTCCAGTCTGAATATAAGTGTCTTATTTTTTTACTGATATTCTCATTGTTTTGTCGTTTTCTCCGTTATTTCAGTCTTCTATTTTTTAATAATTTTAGTCGCCAATATCCCTATAATTTTTTTTTTCACAGTAGGCCTATGTTCAGTGACCGATAATAAACATTGAAATAAACTAGACTTAATTAAGATAACTAGCTTAGAAAAGAAAATGGGTTAAAAGAACTCACCCACACCCCGATTTTAACCCCCCCCCCCCCCATAAAAAAAAAAAAAAATGGTGTAACTTTTTGTGACCCCGTGGTGGTATAACTGGTTACTACATCAAAAAGTCGTGTTATTCAAAGCTTTATTATATGTCAAATAATGTATGTTTAAAGTATGGTGGCAATAACTGGGGTTCTAGCGCTGGGTGACAGCACTATATAAAACCACTAATAATAATAATAATAATTGAATGGAATACATGTTTGTAAAAAAAAAAGCCTTGTTTTTTTTGTTTTTTTTGGGTTGTTTTTTTGAAAAAAAAAATATAAACACTAGAAAAAATACATATAAATTATGGTAGAGGTTTTGATGGGTTACAAAGACAACCAATTAATTTTTTTTCTTTATAAAACCGGTTTTGTAGCTCCAATACGATACTAAAGAACGTGTCATTAAAAATTGCAATAGTCAGAATAATGATCTTTTAAATTCTTTTTATAAATCTAAACGCAACTCAATGATTATACTTTCACAAAATAATAATAATAAAATAATAACAATAATAGTAACTTAAACTGTCGACGAGAAACAAATAAAATGTAAAAAAGAAAAAAAAAAATGCATGTTGAATGTTCGAAAAAAAATAAAATAAATGAAATGCCAATATCCCAATACTCGGCCATCACAAGTTAATAAACCATTCAACAATATCCCAATACTCGGCCATCACAAGTTAATAAACCATTCAACAATATCCCAATACTCGGCCATCACAAGTTAATAAACCATTCAACAATATCCCAATACTCGGCCATCACCAGTTAATAAACCATTCAACAATATCCCAATACTCGGCCATCACAAGTTAATAAACCATTCAACAATATCCCAATACTCGGCCATCACAAGTTAATAAACCATTCAACAATATCCCAATACTCGGCCATCACAAGTTAATAAACCATTCAACAATATCCCAATACTCGGCCATCACAAGTTAATAAACCATTCAACAATATCCCAATACTCGGCCATCACCAGTTAATAAACCATTCAACAATATCCCAATACTCGGCCATCACAAGTTAATAAACCATTCAACAATATCCCAATACTCGGCCATCACAAGTTAATAAACCATTCAACAATATCCCAATACTCGGCCATCACAAGTTAATAAACCATTCAACAATATCCCAATACTCGGCCATCACAAGTTAATAAACCATTCAACAATATCCAATTCCGCTCTAGGACTTTTTTTGTCTCCAACCCCACCCATGCAGATTCACTTAATTAAATGGTGAATACATAAACATATCCAACAGAGCGATTGGCCTTCACACTGACCTCCACTGTCAGTTATATTGGGCTTCACCCTGACCTCCAGCGTCAGTGACCTTGGCCTTGACCCTGACCTACACCAACAGTGGCATTGGTCATCACCCTGACCCACACCAACAGTGACATTGGCCTTCGCCTTGACCTCCACTAACAGAGTAACATGGTTTTCACCCCAGTGATCAACTAATATTCACAAATCCTACTGATCAACTTATATTCACAGACCCCAGTGGTCAACTTTTATTCACAGAGCCCAGTGATCAACTTATATTCCCAGACCCCAGTAATCAATTTACATTCCAAGACCCCAGTGATCAACTTACATTCACAGACCCCATTGATCAAATCATCTTCACAGACCCCAATGATTAACTCATATTCACAAACCCCAGTAATCAACTTATCTTCACATACATTATTTCAGTGATCAAATTATCTTCATAGACTTCAGCAATCAACTTATCTTTAAGGACTCCAGTGGCTCTGTTAATTTTTTTGAGGGGGAAAAAATATTTAAAGGGAGACAAATGATATTTTGCCACTTTGCATTTCATTCATGTCTATAAATTACATTATTTCCCTTGTGTTTCTAAAAAAGAAAAACCTATTTAACAAATAGCATAATAATATAATTATGAAGCACGAGACATGTAGCACCACGGTAAAGCACACTCTGTGAAAGTTAAAGGAGTTCAGGCGAAAATTATTTAACCAAAAAAAAAAAAAAATAATAATTTTATTACAACGTATCTTAATCGATTTTTATTTAGATTTCAAGTTTCCTTGTAAAAAGTTCTCTTCGAGAGTTTAAAAGAGTTACGGGCCATTATAATGAGAGTGCATTTAAAAGTGGGGGCAAGACCGACTTCATGAGGGCACAAAACGGCGTTCAGTACAGCGGATAAAAAGACACATTTGTGTCCTTTGTTGTGTCTTCGATAAAGTTTTAACCCACTTGGTGTTAGGTGAGTATGTTGAAATATGTTAAGGAACAAAATTAAAGAACATGTATTAGAGGCAAATGATGGCAGGAATTGTATACTAAGCAAAGTAGGTTGAAAGATGAACTGAACAAAGTAGGTTGAAAGATGAACTGAGCAAATTTATAGGTTGAAAGAGAAACTGAAAAATAGTAGGTTGAAAGATGAGCTGAAAAAGACTAGGTTGAAAGATGAACTGAAAAAGAGTAGGTTGAAAGATGAACACAAAGTACTTTGTGAAAAGTGAACTGAACGTAGAGTAAGTGGAAAAAGAAAAAAAAAACTACCAAAGAGTACGCTGAAAAATGAACTGAACAAAGATCATTTTGAAAGGTGTAGCATGCAGAGGATGTTAGTGGGAGAGGCGGAGTTCCATGGCGAGAGTGTCATGACGACGAGTGGGGGGGGGGGGAACTACCGTTGAGACAGGAGAGACCTATCGATAGTTACAGATATCTGCGGGTAAACATTGCCGAGACGTCCCCTGTACGCGCGCGTGCGAGGAGGTGATGTTTGATTCACGGCACAAGGAATTCCAGGGCGAGAGGGGCATGAGGACGAGTGGGGGGGGGGGAACTACCGTTGAGACAGGAGAGACCTATCGATAGTTACAGATATCTGCGGGTAAACATTGCCGAGACGTCCCCTGTACGCGCGCGTGCGAGGAGATGATGTTTGATTCACGGCACAAGGAAGCCACGTGACAGGGACGTCGATCTGCTCACAGTGAAAATCCCCCCCCCCCTTCCTTTTTTTTTCTCCCCCCCCAACGAAACTAGCAGACGATGAATGCACCCTTGAACTGGTATAGCCGATGATTTGAAAACATTTCCGTCAGAACCGGTAAGTCCATTTATAATCATCGCTTGTGCTACCGTGTGATGTCAAGTTACTAATGTTGTTTACTCTACCCACGACGTGGTGTTATATAGATGATGGGATGTTTTCAAAAGCAGAAGTATCGGTAAATAGCGAGGATTAAAGTTGAATTATTAAAAAAAGAAAGAAAAAAAATCCGAGGAAAGTTCGTTGGGCGAATATTTTTATTTACTCGCGTCTTTCAATTGGGCAATTTTACTGGTTGCCTCCTGCCCTATTACTAATATGAACAAAAAAACTTTTTATTTTATTTGCAAACAAAGCCTTTATTGGGAGCTTATATATATATATATATATATATATATATATATATATTAGCCTACAAATAAAAAAAAATATATATA